TCCTGCTGGCATCTTGGCTTCGCCCAGCCTCCATAGATGTAACACATCTTACTATCATTGCAAGAGCGTGTAATACCTGTCTTCTAACATGGTTTGAGCTTTAGAGAGATCCAGATCTTGTCAGTAAAATATCCAGGATCTCTATAAATAGTAAGTTAGGTGATTGTAACATTGTTATTGACAGTTTCTACTATTTCTAAGGCAAATTCAATAGGTCTATAGATTTAGACTTTACTGAGGAATAAAGAAATAAGCTGATGAAGCAGTCGGAGAAAACAAGTACAGCTATTACTTATATTTCAAGCATAACTGATACTTCAATATTGGAGCTGGCAGGGCTTGATATAAAAATCAATCTATTTGTGAGAAATGGGGATGCCTGAAGTATTCTGAATGCTTTTGGATTATGTGCTCGCAGCCCAGCACAGTCACACATCCTGGCTGTATCTCTTTTTTTAATGTCCAGCCTAAGACTTTTTTTTGTTCCTGTCGAACCTGACAGATAATAGTTGCTGGCACTGAAATAACAGCAAGGAAGCACAGTAACGTGATTAAACTAGACAGCCTTGAGAGAAATTTTCAGAAAGTGCTTGAATTGGGAGTTTGTAGGGAGTGAGTGACAGAACTGAAAGCAAGGATTTGGAATGACTTCTAGGATCCATTGAGCAAGTAATTTCACCTATCTGAACCCAAAATTTTCCATTTGCATACCAGTACTACTATGCACTGCTCTTCATGAGAAGTATATGATCACACAAGAAGCTTTGAAATTCTCTGTGAAATAGCAGTGTTTAAGGTTATTTGGCTTGCAAACCTCAAAGGATCAGAATCTGAAAAATCACTGATTTCCTATAATCCTGAACCTTAAGGAGAAGAAAGTCCTAGTTTCTCATGAAGATATAAATTTCCCTAAATCCCTACACATTAAAATAATTTATTTACTATATAGCTTCATAGATTGGATGGCTTTCCAAATGCATGCATTAAAATAAACATTTTTCAAGGTTAGTGACCTCTTTCTCCTGTTTTGCAATTTTTCCAGCTCCTTTTCAGCTACTGAAACATTAAAAGCAATGTAAGAGCTCTGCAAGTTTGGTTTTAACATAGACCCGAATTGCTACTTCAAGACAGTACATGGAAAGACATAACATTGTGGATAAGGAAGCTTAATCCAAGATATTTATTTCTCCCTGCATGTCATTTCCCATTACTTGGGATTTCAAAACTGCCAAGCAGTTACAAAACCAAACATCACAGCACAGAACTTCCAGCCAGAATCCGTCTCCAGTTCCATTTGCTCAACTACACTTGCCAAGAATGGAGACATGAGGTTGGCCTCACCTCCCTTTAAGTTGCTTATGATTTACTGTGTTAGCTTCCAACAAGACCGACAGGGGTAGTTATGTCAGCAAAAGGCTAGAATGAATAACTTAAACTCCATCAAGGGCAACATACAAACAAGCCTATTTAAACAAGCAATCTTGATGTCAATTATTTATTATCTGCAGCATTTGGAACACGTGCTATTGCTCAAGGTCAACACACAAACGTTGGACAGTCACACCCAAAGAAGAAGGAAACCTAAGCTTTTTTTTTTTTTATTTCCATACCTTGTGTCTTTTAATTTCTCTTACATAATACCATACTACCAACTGAGTACCACCAGAGTGTAGCTGGAACTAATATAGTATCATTTCAGTAAAATAATCAAATCGCTCACTTGAATAACAGACAAAGAAAGCCCAATCTAAAAAGTACAAACAAAGGCTGTGGGGAAGACGTGATGTCTGCAGTTAAGACATGAAAGGAAAACGCAGAACTGATGAAGGCAAAGGAGCCAAAGAAAGTGGTTTCAGAACAGAATTTCAAGATTTACACAGTTGGCTATGTACACAAACATCTGCATTTCCCAGCTACAGGAACATTCTTACTTGGATGAGCTCCACAGTCAGTTAGCATTGCAGCATAGTCTTGATCACAATCAGAGACTATCTGGGATGCCATTTCAATAAAATATAGCAGCTGAAACAATGTTCTTTCCTTTTCTACTTAGTGTTCCCAGGAACATGTTGTGCCCTCTCTCCTATCTGATTTTTAATTTTCCTCTTAGCAACAATATACTGTATTATAATATGCCTATTGGTATTTTTTCATAGTGTGACAATCTAAAAGTAGCATTCAGCTTTGTAACCTTGCTCACTAATATCTAGCACCTTTCAGTGGCCATGATAGCAACATATGTTCTCAGAATATAGCTAGATTTCCAAGCTCCCTTTTGGGCTATGGAACCACTGTGAAAATTAAGATGTGTAAGATAAAGGTCTTTTTATATACATACCCGTAGATAGCGCCCTACAAAACCTGAGACAGTTCTCTCTAGGTTAAAATGAATTTTAGAGGGGTAGCACATACATTCTTAGTGTTTATCTGCACAATATACACAGCTCCACACTTGGGCTCTTTCTGCCCAGCACTAATATTCCCATTCATACTTCTGCAAATGCTGATGCAAAGTGATATATGAAGTCAGATCCAATGATGTAATAGAAATTGGCAAAACAATACCCAGATGTAACTTGACCTCCATAAACCATTTTACACTTTGTATTTAAAGTAGTCATCATCATAAATCTTATCCCTCTCCCAATCCCAGTTATTACACATGCATGCAGAAGGGGGCTCTATTCCAGTGCTAGTATTTTTGTATCTGACATATGTATTTCATTCTGGACTCCCTGCAGCGCTGTTTCCCTGGCTGCATTCCCAAGATCCTATGCTGCATCATCCGTACAGGTTTTCTTCTCCCCTCATTACTCCTCTCAAGTATCTTTTGCCAGCATCATGCCTCTTTATTGGCTGGTGAATCTCAAATGCCTTTGGATACAACTAGTCACTATGAAATTTGTGGATTTACACACCGATTAACTGCAGGACAGGATCTGTCTTTGGGTTACCACAAAGCATTTATGCTGTTACAAGGTGCATCTTTTTTTTTTTTTTTTTTTTTTTTTTTTCTTTTGGTGGCGGGGAGACAGACATTTATTTATTTATTCAGAAATCCCTTTCTGGTTAGTAACAATGTTCTGTTACACAGCCAAACCCTGGAGAGGCTGTGACAAATAGGGAGGTCATGGTCAAATTTAATAAGATCTCACATTCCCTTGGAAATGCCACCAGGGAGCAGACAAAAGCAAGCGTTTGCTGAGCTCCTGGGGGAAAGCAGAGCATTTGCACAGAAGCCCTTGGTATGCAGATGGTGTCGCTGCCTTTAGAAACAGGCTTAGATTTGAAACCAATGGGAACAAGCTGATAGGGCTAATGCCGAGGGAGAGAGCATGCCACAACTTAGCTTAGGAGCACAAGCTATACATGAAGATGCTAGGGCTGGCTCTTTGTTCTCGCATCTCTGCTGTGTCCCAGGAACAGCAAGGTGACAGCTCTGCACATTCAGTAGAGGGAGAAAAGGGAACGCTATGGATACATAGTGAAAATTTGAAAAAGAAAGCTTTCAAATCGATTTATTGCTCTGCGAGAGAGTGGCCCATCTGCCTCCGTGCCCACCCTGCGGCACAGCCCTGCTGTGGCTGCAGAGCCCAGGCCGGGGGGCCCAGCTGCTCCAGCTGCGGGAAGCCCGATGGCTCACAGTCCTTAACCTCAGGTGCCTGACTCTGGGGCGCAGGGTGCAGCAACAGGCCAGTCTGCCAGGCACAGTATGCCTCGTTCTACGTGCTGAATAGTACAGCAGGTAAGTTATAGCTGTGCTACAAGGGCGGGGGCGGGTAAGGACAACTCAGCTAGGATCTTGGTAAGCCAAGCACTCACGGCACATTTCACAAAGTAGACTGCCTTCCAGAATCCTTGTCTCTACCTGTGCTGGGCTTCAGCCGACTCTCAGCAAGCTCAGAAATCGCTCCTGTTGTAATGGTCTTCTTCAGTCTAGAGACTCCAGAAGCTGCTGCCACCCCTGGCTTTGTCAGCATGTCATCGCTGCTTGCCCTCTTCAGCTGCAATACAGAGATTTTGTGAGCAACCAGAAGATTAAGACCTTGAATATTCCCATCAAGTAATTCAAAATGCAAGGTTTCTGGGGAAAAAAGAAACATTTCTATAAAGTAAGTCAATGGGAATACTGCTTTGATAACCATACTAAGTAATTTTTTATTAATTGTTATATTTGTTTTGCATTCTAGATATTTGTGAAGTGGGTTAAGAGGCACTACTGTTTCAATAATGAAGAATGAAAATGGGAAAGACCATTCAAATAAGCAAATAATTGAAAGACAGGGAGAAAATAGTTTATAGGAGTAGACTACTGGCAACTCTGCCTTCTCAGATCTTGCTCTGAACAGCAGTCATGATATTTCCTCCCTGGTTTACATTTAGTTAGGTATTTGGGCCCGTGTAGATAAGTGCTAGTTGCAGAGCTTGACACACCGAGTAGGTCAAAGCAGCAAATAAGTGGCCCTTAATCTGTCTGTCAAAAAAAAAAAAAAAACAACCCAAACAAACCTAAAAGGGTCTGCTGGTTCTTGTCTCTCCACTCAGGATCAGAGTCTTGCCCCAATGGTGACCTTAGATCCTCTGAAGAGACTTCTGAGCTATTCCAATAGAAAGCAACTGCCAGTTCCTTCCCCTGTTTGTCAAACAGGAGTCACCAAACTTTGTGGCATCATAAACTAGGTTATCTGACATGAACAAAGAACATGCTGGGGACCAAGCCAAACTATGAAAATCATTTAGCTGAGAAGCTCAGGCTTCCGCAATAAAATGCGAGAGCAGCCAGTGCAAGACGTAACACAATTACCAATTGGAAATCCCTTATCTTAAACGTGATACGATTTCAGCTGTTTACCCTCCTTGCTTATTGAAAATCAGTGAGCAAAGATGGCCAATGATCTCATGGTGGGACCTTAGTGGGTATTCTATTTGTCCTGCTAGGGACTGTAGGACTCGGTAGAAGAGAAGCTGAAAAGTCTGTTCACAAGAAAGCATTCTGTTCATGAGACCACCAAGTAAATCATTCGCAGCAAAGAAATGCACTTGTTTTCAGCACAGACAAGCGGCAGAATTCTAGAGATTAATGCTGATATGTTTCATAAGTTTGGAAGAAGGTAAACTATTTGCTTTACAGGGTATTTTACACTATGTGTTCTTCAAAAAATATTAGTGGATATCACTATAATTTACTTAGCTTTATTGTACATGAGAAAGCAAGGGACCATCGTTGCTGTGCGGCCTTTTTTGGGAGGGGGATTTCGGTAAAGCAAGTCTACTCTAAATGTGTACTCAAGAAATCCATGCATTTCAAGCACAATGAACTTAAGATTCAAAGAGAAACACTGAACTTATGTTGCTTCAACAAGCAGAAGTAGCAATTTATTTCAGAACATTGGTCAGCTGCTTTTCCATTTGCATGCCTCTGTAACAGCCTGTATACCTCTAATAATAGCCTCTAATTAATTTCAGGAAAAATACTTTAAGCATTTTAGAAGACCAAAGTTCTAGAGAGCCTCCCTAGAGCAGTATTTTCTTCTACCCTTTTCAGTTTGTGGACACCTAAACTGTTTTCACAAATCAACATCCCCTTTCTTTGAAGTTGTCCAGTGACACCCAGGGGGTCCATGAACCACAGGCTGAAACCACTGCTCAAGTTAAAAGAAAAGAGAGTGCACGACAAGCACTATCCCTATTTAGCAGTTCCCGTATGTAAAATCTTTCAGAAAAATGAATTCTCTCAGCTCCAATTCTTTCTCCTTTTCATCTCTTCCTCTGACTCAGAGTCTGTGGTTTCCTGGACGCCGTGAGCACGTAAGTTTCAATAGCTGAAGGGTTGATCTGCTCCAGGATACCAAACAGCTAATGCTTTGCCTTCTGGCAGAGGTTTTGCCAACTCACTCTTAGAGGCAGAATGGAACAATCCGACTTTCTGACCTTTAGAAACTTCTGCAGTCTCTCTAAAGTAATTTCTTCAATGTGCCCTATTCTACAGCAGCAACTCTGGTGCCTTTTTCTACCCTGTTTCTTCAAGGAAACCACTTTGATGATCTTGCATTTGCAGATGATCAACAATTTGAAGATATTAGCTGCAAGTAGGAAGAAAACCCTCTACATTTAACGCCATACACAAATTAATCGTATCAGATTTCCTGATTAGTCTTTTCAGTAGCATTCCTTCAGAGATGCTTGCCTCAGTCATACAGCAAATACTCCAACAACGAACATAACCTGCCTGGAGCACTGGACTGAAATATCCTATTGATAAGATGCTCAGAGCATCTAGTAGTTTACAAAGCAAGTTAAGTAAATTAATCCTTCACTTGAAAAGCTGTGACGATTAATGAAGTTTAGATCTCCTCTTGATTTAAATGCTGTGCTATGTTATGTATTTTTTACTAAACTTGACTATTAGAAGCAGTTATAACCAGGAAGCCCATGGCCTATTTTCATCACTGGTATTTTGGTCTGTATTGGACAACAAGGTTATTTTTGTTTGCTGGCTGCAAGGGTACAGATGCAGCAGCATTTCAGGTGTATTACTTCATTTTCTTAAAAACACTACTTTGATGGAAGTTTCTGCTATTTTTGAATATAGCTATACAGAAAGATAGGATTCATAAAATGCTTTTGTTCCATTGCAAGTAATATCTTTTGTTAATATATTTTGCCTTGAAGGGAGAGGCACAGATTTTTAGGAATTCTGGAAATCCATTAACAAATCTCTTTCAATTTCTTTACACGTGTAACAAGTCAGTTGAACTAAGAATTTGTCACTTATTTTATTCCTTCTTCAAAGTTAAGGCAACTCCCTCAGACACAGACAGTATAAGAGAACCCACTCATACCTTGTACAGATACAGTACGTCCCCCATCATATGCAAATATTTTCAGAAACGTGCATTAGTCTAATATACAACATAATTATAATCTCCCTATGCTTAATACAGTGGTCAAGCCCACTCCAAGTCTGGGTGTAGTAATGTTCCAGGACTAAACCAAAGCTTTAACCTGGAACAAGGCTATAATGCTTGCACAGTCCCTACTGGTTAGTACCTTGCTGAGCCGAGATTCAAAGGCAAGTGAAGTCGAGGACTTTGATGTCTTCATTCCTGTTGAGGTGGTGGAAGGCGACTTTCCTCTGTCAACCCCATGACTCCCTTGCTTTGCCATTGCACTCCAAGGCCTGGCAGTACTCTTCATTTTCTTCCCAAATAACTCAGTCTACAGACCCTAAAAAAAAAAAGTATATATATGTATGTGTGTATGTATACACACACAGAAATATAAACTGTCTTTGTATCATCTGGAAGAGAGCAGCAGATATCTGGCATCATTTTAAAGGGCCGAAAAGGACATGCTAAACTTTATTCCCTCTCTTACTGTCGTGCTTTAACCCCAGTCGGCAACTAAGCACCACACAGCCGCTCGCTCACCCTCCCCCCTGGTGGGATGTGGGAAAGAATCAGGAAAAAAAAAAAAAGTAAAACCTGTGGGTTGAGATAAAGGCAGTTTAACAGGACAGCAGAGGAAGGATAATAATAATAGTAATAAATAATAATAGAATATACAAAACAAGTGATGCACAACACAATTGCTCACCACCCACTGACCAATGCCCAGCCCGTCCCTGAGCAGCGATTGCTGCCCCCCAGCCAACTGCCCCCAGTTTCTACACTGAGCACGATGTCACACGGTATGGAATAGCCCTGTGGCCAGCCGGGGTCAGCTGTCCTGGCTGTGCCCCCTCCCAGCTTCTTGTGCACCTGGCAGGGCATGGGAAGCTGAAAAGTCCTTGACTAGTATAAACTCTACTTATCAACAACTACAACATCAGCGTGTTATCCACATTATTCTCATCCTAAATCCAAAACACAGCTCTATACCAGCTACTAGGAAGAAAATTAACTCTATCCCAGCCAAAACCAGGACACTTATACACATGAAAACTCAGCCTAGAGAATCCCTCAGAGCAGGCTGTAGCCACTTATATTTTTCATACTGACTGGTAACATGAAACACCACAGAAGAAACACTGACTTTTGTGGGACTGTAAGTGAGAGACCTCTATCAGCCACAGCAGAACAACTGCAAATGCTGAAGCACAATGAAAGAGTAACTGAGAAAACTGACGTCCACAGCGACTGAAAACAACCTTGAGATAAAAAGAAAACGACTTCTGTTACTGTTAGATCCGGCATCTTCAACTGATAAATACTCACTTTTTAAAAGTCACGTGAGACGCAAGTTTCCTCAGTTGTATGGAAAATATGATATCTTTAACTTATCGGACTCTTCTAGAGAAGCAGCATGATGTTGCCACGGTGATAAAAAGATGTTTCACAATACCAAGATTTACAAAACACGGTAAAAAATATCAACTTCCTTGATACAACTTCCAAACGAAAATCCAGATCCACTATTCCTCAGAGATAAGCTTATGCAAGAGAGAAATCCTGCCAGGAATCACCAAATAGAGACGAATTCCTTTTTTTGGATATAGCTGAATAAATTTAATCTGCCAGCAAGAACAACTAGTCTGTTTCTCTCAATAGGTAGAAGGCTGCCCATTAAATAGCCAGCTCATCTTTTGTAGATCTAAAGCCATAAATTTTTACCAGCCATTGCCCAGTCCAAACCAGGAGCAGAATAACATAATCAGTTGGATTTAAAAAAAAAAAAAAAAAAGAGTTCCACCAGTCTGAGTTGGGAGTGGGAGGGATGGGAGATTGCCTCTCCTCCCCTCCCCCATTCAGTATGAGCAATATTTTTCTTCTGCAGCTTCATTTTCTAAAATAGACACAGGATGTAGCTGCGTATCAGGCTTGTGTAGGCAGAGGCTAACTTGCTTCTTGTCTGTTAAACAGGTAACCAAAAGATCTACAGAGATCAGCCTAGCGTCTCAGCTAGGGCAATATGCTCGCAGTAAGCGCGCGCTGTTTATCACACGGAAGTCCAGCTGGGCAAGTGTGAACTTGGACAGCAACCCTTTGACAGAGATGCCAAAACAATTTATTCCTGGCTGAGTCAGTAGAAGGGCTTAGGTCACATTTTATATCTCATAATTTGCTTTATACTTTATTTTATATTCACAAATAAGAACACTCACTGAACTCATGGGAAACAAATCTATTCAGGGGCCAAGTCGTATTTGACACTGACAGCACCTTCCAGGTGTCACGATGGTCTATTTAAGGAGTGTTTCGCTGCACAGAGGCAGAAGGGAATGTCAAGTGCTCTGCTGCTGTCTTACAGAGAACAAAGCTAGCAAGTGACATTTCCTTTATTTATCCTTGGTGCCTCTTGCAGGGAGGGCCGTCTACTTTCTCCACAGCTCTAACCTGTCAGCTCCTAAATAAAGAAATAAAAAAGTTAGTAGTTATTATTACTAAGTATAGTCATTACTCCATTAAAATCTTAACACATACGGTGTGGAGCCATCAACTCATCTCATTAGAGGAGAAAGAGTAGTCTTCGTTGATGATTATGCTGATCACTTGGCTCCTTTTTTAAAGCACTGACAGATATGTAAGCTATATTACAATAACGTTTAGCATTCCCACAGTTCGTGATCCACCTTAGCAAGGTTCGGTGCTTTACATTATTTAATAAACTATTTTTTAATGGACATACTATTCACTGTATTTATATGGATGAACAAGCAACTACACATGCAAACTATCTTCCTGATTAGATCTCCAAATTATGCAGATTTTGGTTTTTATAGATCTAGTGGCTGCACATGCATTTTGCTTTATTATACCCTCTGAATTTCTTCATAACTGTATCTCATGCTTTCCTGCCTTAAGCTGTACAGATGCTTTCTTGATATCCTACAGGATTTAATTTTGAGTCATCCATGGCATTTTAAAGTTGCAGTGGAGTGATATGCTCATTAGACCATGATGTTAGAAGTAAAAGGAAGAGGTACTTAAAAAACAAAACAAAACAAAAAAAAAAAATCCAAAACCACAACTCAAGAAATCCAGCCAGTAGCCTGAGGCAAACTGGATTTTTCATGTAATGATAGCTGAATTATGCACCATGTGGATTTAATAATATTTTACTACACAAAGCAGATGAAACTAAAATTGAGAAGAGTATATTTGGATTTATTAGTGTTTTTCAGTTTTCTGTGTATTTATATGGGAATCTGCATTTGTAAAAGATAGAGGTAAGGCTTCTCATGTATTTGGCTAACCTGAATCTGTGCTGTAGATAAAGATTTCAGTCTCTAAAGTGGGATCCCAATACTTTCCACAAGCTTTATACATACTTCAAAGAATAAAGCGAGGTCGCACACATCTTAAGCTGCTTTCATTCCTAGGTAGGTGACACACATTTGAATTATTAGAAGTACAAAACTACCTCAAAAAAAAAAGTCCTGCTGTTCTTTGATGAGAGCAGGAAATCCATTCTCAGAGTCAACTTTTCCTTTTCTCCAAATTAAATTTATTGCATTACAGGAAAACAAACAAACAAAAAAGCTTCATGGAAGTTGTGGGCAGTTGGACAATGGGAAACCCAGAAGTTCAGTATCATAGAATGGCTCATGGACTGAGTTAGGTACATAGCAGTGAACTGTCAACCAAAATATTAACTTAGATATATAAAATGGCTGCAGCTAGTTAGCATTGAGGAAATCCAACATTAGCAAATAAGAGAAGTTTCTCTAATCCTTGTGTAAAAACAGCATATATAGGGATGGTTTCTAATAGATTGCATTTAAAAAATTAACATACAGCTTTTATCTAGTTGTCTCAAAACACACAATTTTTTAATAGGTGAATGATTAAAAACCAACAGAATTTTTAAATCTGGAAAGATAAAAAAAGCATTTGTGGAGAAACAGATAAGAGGGCTAAACATGCTGGAAAAGAGAGCATAAGGACAGAGTGCTACTAATACAAGCCACCAATATATCCTAACATATAAGATAATAATGACTGCAGTTTTTGAAGAAGCTCAGGTTAAAAAGACACCTGAAATGCAACCTTCTGCCCCAAATATTGAACAAGGCAGCAGTTTATCAGAGCAGTGCAACGACTAAATGGCAACCTCTGCTTCCTTGATGTCATTTTCAGAGCAAGGCTGGCAACAGTAGCTTGGCGAGACCGTCCTTCTGAGCCGGCAGAAATGACTTTGAAAGTACCCAATCATGGTCATAAACTGTCCTTGAATGAGAGCTTGGGAATGGGATCACCACTAACTTACCACAGCTGAACGGATCCTGGAAGACCGTCCCTTTCACAAGCCTGGACACAGGCAGCATACATGTACTCATATTGTAACTACTATAACAGGATATTGTTCAACGCCTTTTGCACACAACTTTCCAAGCCTTGCGTATCTGCATTTCTACATCTGTGAAACTGCCACCAGGTAATGGCTCCCAGTGGCTTTAGAATATATTGATGGAAGTCTACTATACTTTAACTAAATACCAGCATTTCCTTCCAAAAAGGCCCCAGAAAGATGACTTATCTCTAGGCTACCCGTAGAGAAATCTGAATGAGAAGCAGCTTTCCACAAGAGATGCAACCAAGCTGCTTTTGCAAATACAGTGACAAAATCACTTTTACCTTTTACACATTTTTTTAATGGTTTTACATCCGTTATGTCTCAATACGTTTCAGATGAGACATGCTTCTGCTCACTCTCCTGGAAGATTAGTTGCTTTAAGCAATGCTTGGAGCTCTATGATTTTATTTTTCATTTATTTCTTCACATTTCACAGGGAACTTCCCTTATGAAGCAAACTGAATGTCACCATCCCGAGATTCAAAGTCAGTCTTTCTTTGGCATCAGCCAGAGCAGGTCACTAGTGGGCCACAATTAAATCCCTGCAGCATGCTCTGCTTGGAGCTGTACTCTGAAAACATGTAGAAGCTGAAGATAAGAAGCAGCTCCATGTTGAAATAAATGGGGGTTCATGCCAACAATATGTTGCTTCAGAGCAGCAAAATCAGTTCTATTGCCAGTCAATTCCAAACTGCGGGGGCTTTGGGGTGGTTTCTTCTTTTTGTTTTTAAAGTCTTTTATACTCAAAAGTGCTGGTGTCTCAATACTCCCCTCCGCTGAAACAGGTGCTGCAAATGAGATAATCGGAGGGTTTACAAAAATGTAAAGCTGGTCCTGACAGAGCTTTTTCTCTCAGTAATCCTCAGAATTCCCTGCAGGCAGAGTCACAGTCTTTAAAAATT